TGTTTTATTAGAAAAATAATGTTTTCAATTTTAATTTTTTTTATCAAAAATGGTTTATTGGAAAAAATTACCCACAATAAAGACAATACTAAATAACGGTGCATGAATTTAACGATTACCAGTTGTATTCCTATATATTTAGAAGATATAACATGAATACCATTAACTAGAGATTGATTGCCTTCGAACATAGAATTTTCTAACTACTTCTAATTGACCAACTAAATAATAATATGTTTGTTTTTTGGTGAAAGAAATAATATTATGTTTCAATCGATTAAAAAATTGGTGAATGCTTATTCCACAGTTACACTTAACTTAAAGGAACATAAAACTCGTAAGAAATTTAACTGGAAATCAATATTCTAATTATCGATAAATAATAACTTATCAATATTTCATCCGTTTTATATAGTGTCATTTTAGATGTTCTATTATGGTGACAAAACAAATATTTTCTAGTTTAAAAAAAAAAGAGGAAATTTGGAAAAATACCCTATTTGAGTTTACAAATTTGAGATATACCAATCTTTTGATTTTTTTTTGAAAAATACACTTTTTGAAATACAAATTTACTAAGTATCCAATACATAGAAAAAATTTATATTTAAAATACAAAAACGTTTTTAAATTGACCAAGAAGTTTTTTTAACAAAGATTAAAATCTCTGTTCTTACTATCTTAAATAATTATTTAAAAATATATATAATATTCTTATAACTTAAACAAATTAAAATCTCACATATATTAAAACAAACTGAACCAATCAAATTGAAAAACTCATCTTATACATATACGTGAAATATTTTAAAAAATCCACTACATATATAAAGTTCGTGTGATGGTCAAACATGCATTATGATGTAATAAAAATAGTTTAGCGTAGCTTAATAAGTGTACAAAACTTTCTACTTTGCCTTTTCGATAAAAACTTAATTCGATAAATAAAATGAAATTTTGTATCTCACTCTTTACTCTAAACACAGTTAGCCATATCGCAAGGTGATACGATATTAACAATTAAATTATGACAAAAATATATAGAGATATGGTCAGACAAAACAATCGACTCTGCCACTTTCTTTTAACAAAGCGATGTCAACTCTATAGTAGCAGTAACAATGGTGACCGGTTAACATATATGATTCTTTTTAATTTTATTTAGTTTTTTTAAAACATAAGTTTTTAATTTATATTGGTTTATTTATAAAAGTCTAAACTATATAAAAAAACAAATTAATTCAAATTATTTTTGTTGTTATTTACATGTAATTATTAATATTGTGTTAATGCCTTAATGGTGTAATTTTAAAAAAAATATTTTTCGACCAAACGATTTAAGTAAAGAGATTCAACATGGGATTTAAAAGAGTTTTAAATTCAAATGGAGATTAAAAAGTCTTATCACATTATTAAAGAGTCAGTTTTCAAAAAACTTTAGAATTAGGGTATTTTTTAAAATTGTAAACTTAAGTAAGGTATTTTTCAAAAACCCCCTAAAAAAATGTCATTTCACATTTTCTGTATGATTTTCCAAACCAAACTTCTGATCTATTCGTTGTTTAAATTTATATCGAATTAAAACATATTTAGGAAAAGACTGCTATGAAAGAAAGACTGTAGCTGAGGTTAGCTCGGAACGTCGTTGTTAATTCCCTTGTTAACAATCTCAATATTGCTAATGTTGAGATGTAATTTAGTTATGATCCAAATTAAAGTCCGCATGATTTATATTATCAACTAAAAATAATGTAGAATAAATACTCCTAAGGAAAATCCGAATCTAGTAGATATTTAAAACATACTATATAAATAAATTTAAAGTGCTAATATTTTTCTTGTGTGGATAGTGGATACAACAAAACATAGAAAAATGTATTAGTAGAAAAATAGTAAATATCTTAATTAAATATAACATGGAATCATTTAAATGTTTATAAATGGTGAAAATTATTACAAAATTGTAATATAGAAAACAACTTTTTAATCTTAATTTTATTTGGCCTGCAATTTTTTTGAAATCATGATATTATGATAGTGAATAAAAATATGTAAAAGCTGTAATACACAATACCCTGAAAATACAACATAACGAATAAAACAATTTATTAGCCAAAAGAACTTGGGACCAAATTCTCAAAAGAAGGCAACGTATGGATTAGAGTCGCATAGTTTGGTTCACTCAAATAGTACAGCGGTATGCATTCATTACATGGCTGGCTATAAAAGACCGACTAGCCACTAATGTGAGGACGTGAAGGTATGCTTAAGTTTGCGTATTACGTGGTGAGCCGGAAGAGTCATGCGATCATCTCTTCTTTGCTTGCACATATACCTTCACAATTTGGATGGAAATCAGTAAGAATCTTTGTCATTCATGTGTTACACTAGATTGGGATGATACTCTTTAAAGCTTTCTTCACCGAACATACATCACCAACGAATTTGATCTTATTTGTTTGTGCTTTCAAACTGCAATTTATCATATATGGAAATAGCAAAATTGGAGATAGCATCACAATATCCATCGTTTACCAATTCAACTCTCCTTAATCATTGAAAACTCTAGATCGAAATCAGCATTCATAATTTCAAATTGATGCATGACATTTTTAGCATTCATGTTTAGTGTTATATATACTTTTTATTAACTAGAGTTTTAGACCACGCATGCGCGGTTTCTTTTGGATAAAAATTTGTTGTTAAATTTGTGGTTTATGTTTTTCAAAATTAAGTTTCCTTAGAATATTTTAATAAGACATTTTCTGTTTACTCATAAGTTGTCAAATTTCATATGTAGTTAAATAAAATATATTTTTATAATTCAAATTGAACTTGAACTCATATTTATTTCTATTTTCTTCTTATACGTTTTCTATAAAATAAAGTTTAGAAATTTCGTTTCTTGTCGCATTTTCATGGTTCATTAAATCATTTGATTATACTATTCAACAATTGTATACATTCTATTTACAAAATTATTCATATCAATAAGATTATATATCAACTAAATTATTCTCTCTTTAGTGGCTACATATTGTTTGTGTATATCATTGAATGTTATGTTTTATTTCCGCTGATTCCTCCTCTTATCTAATATAGAAATGATTTGCTACTCATGTTTAAACATAATATACAATAGAAAAGTTTTTAATTAATCCAATGGCAATTATAGCTTTCTAAGGTGTAATTATTTTTCGAAATTGAAAACCAATTTACTATGAAGCATCACGAACGATCTATTTTGACACTCACTTACATTTGGAATAGTCTTTTATTGCCTCTCACTCTGTCTAAACTTCCTTCTGTCATGACTCTTTAGAAAATTTCGGAGGGCTCATTGATTCCACCGCTTGCAACCCAACCTAATGCTTTTTTAATGTTCAATCATCCTATTACTATAAATCACAAGTAAATTCACAAAAAAATTGCAACTCTTTCCTTCTGCCACGTATCATAAGTCCCAATTTTTACCATTCCACTTTTTCGATTATTTTATCGATTAATTCAACATG